GGGGAAGATTTGACTAAATTCACAAGGAATGTTTTGGGGTGATGGAACCATTCTACATCATGATTTAGGTGACAGTTAAGCAACTGCATGCATTTGTCAAAACTCAAGAAACTGTATACTAAGAAGTGAATTTCCTGTATACAGAATCACAAAACTTTCTCTAAAATAGACCATATTTTCAGCCATAGAGCAAGTCTCAATTAATATGACAAAAATGAAATTATTTCATGTATCCTACCAAAGCACAATGGAATAGAACTAGAAATAAACAGCAAAGACAAAATAAAATAACACAGAACAAAATGAACACATGGAGACTGAATACTACACTCTTGACTAATCAATGGGTCACTAAAGCACCAAAGAAATAAGAAGAGAAAAGTAAAGGTGAATCAAACAATAATGGAAACAGGATGTCAGGATGTCAGAATCTGTGGGACAAAATGAAAATAGTTGTAAAGGGAAATTTATAGTTATGAGTGCCTACATTAAAAAAACTGAGTGATCCCAAATAAATAATCTAACAATGCATCTAAGGTCCTAGAAAAACAAGAAGAAATCAACCACAAAACTAGTACCATTAGAGGAAAAGACATAATAAAGATCAAAGTGAAAGTCACTGAAATTGGGACTAAAAACCAAAATAAAACAGAAAAACAAAAAAACACAAAGGATCAATGAATCCAAGAGTTGGTTAATTTTTTTTGTTTGCTTGTTTTTGTTTTTTTTTCCAGTACCGGGAATCAAACTCACAACCTTGCGCTTGCCAGGCAGGCGCTGTGCTGCTGAGCTAAATCCGCAGCTCCAAGAGTTGGTTATTTAAAAAAATAAACAAGATTGAAACTCTTAGCCAAATTTACCAAAAGAAAGAGAGAAGGCCAAGTTAATAAATCAGAGATGAAAAGTTGAAATTACGAAAGATTCCACTGAAGTACACAGGATCATTAGAAATTATTTTTGAAAATTTGTATTACAATAAGTTGATAAATCTAGCAAAATGGATAAATTCATAGGCACATATGACCTATGAAGTTGCACTAAGAAGATATTAAAAATATCTAAACAGATTACTAACAAGCAATGAGAATGATTCAATAATAAAAATTTTACTAAGACATGCTCAGGACCCAATGGATTTACTGCTGAATTTTATAAGACCTATAACAAAGAACTGATACTAATGCTCGTCAAAGTTTTTCACGCAACAGAAAAGTAAGGAATACTTCTGCATTCACTCTATGAAGCCAACATTATGCCAATTCCAAAACCAGATACGGATGCAGCAAAAAAAACTACAGGCTAATAGCTTTGATGAACATAGATGCAAAAATCCTCAGGAATACTCTTACAGAATTCAGTAACACATTAAAAAGATCACATAATCAAGTTGATTTCATCCCAGAAATGAAGGATGGTTCAACATATGTAAATCAGGAAATGTAGTATACCACACATAAATAGAATCAAGGCTAAGAAGTTATATGGCCATCTCCATAGGTACAGAAAAAGACTTCATCAAAATCCAACAACTTTTCATGATGCAAAACTCTGGTGAACACAGGTGCAGACAGATCTTGCTTCAAACTGATAAACACCTTGCATGACAAGCCCAGTTAACATTATACTGAGCAGAAAAAAACTGAAAGCATTTCCTTCAAAATCAGGACCTTTGTGGTGTTCACTTTCATCACGCCTTTTCCAAATAATATTTGACACTTTAGGCAGAGAAACTTAAGTAAGAGAAAGAAATAAAGGCAGACAGAAATAAAAAAGAAGAAAGTCAAATTATCCTTATTTACAGATTTTTTGAATATTTACACAGAAGACCCCCAAAAAACTCCACCAGAATATTTTAGATATACAAAGTAAACAAGACAGTAGAGTACAAAATCAATACATAAAAATCAGTAGTGTTCTTATATACCAATAATGAAACTGCTGGGAAATCAGGAAAGAATTTCATCACCATAGTTTCAGAAAAATACTTAGAAATTTAATCTTTTGACCTTGCAAAGGAGGTGAAAACTCCTCCATAATGAAAATCACAGAACTCTAAAGAATGAAACTGAAGGGGACATTAGAAAATAGAACATATCCCACTCTTGGATTAGAGGAGTATTATAAAAATGGCCATATTTCCAAAAGTGATCTACAGAGTCAATAGAACCTCTAAAAATATCAAAAACATTGTTCACAAAAGTACAAAAAACAATCCTAAATTCATAAGGTATCAGGAAAGATCCTGAACAGTCAAAGCAATCCTCAGAAAAAAACAATGCTAGAAACATCACAATACCAAATTTGAAAACTATACTACAAAGCCATAGTAACAAAAAGAGAAAGACAAGGAGCTGGGGATTTAGCTTAGCGGCAGAGCGCCTGCCTGGCAAGCACAAGGTCATGAGTTCAATCCCCGGTACCGGAAAAAAAAAAAAAAAAGAGAGAGAAAGAAAAATTAACCCATGTCCCTATAGCCATGTGATATTTTGAGAAAAGGGCCAAAAATATATAATAGAGAAAAGACTGCCTCTTTAACAAATGGTGCAGGGAAACATGGCACAAGCAGAAGACAGAAGCTAGGTCTCTATCCCTCACCCTCCGTTAAAATCAAATCAAAATATCAAAGACTTAGATATAAGACCAGAAACTTTGAAACTGCTAGAAGATAATATAGGAGAAACAGTTGAAGCCATAGACACAGGTAAAGACTTCTTGTATAGAATTCCTACAGTGTAGTAAAAAAAATCAAGAATCAAAAAATTAAAAAGCTTCTATATAGCAAAAAAAACAATCAACAGGGTGAGAATATAACCTACAGCATGAGAGTTAATCTTTGCTGTTACTCGGGTAATAAAGGATATTAATCCTCTAGATTTTAATCTAGAATATATACAGAACTCAAAAAAATTAACCCTCCAAAACAAGTAACCCAAACAAAAAATACACAAATGAACTGACAAGGTGCTTCTCAAAAGGAGAAACATGAATGCCTGCTAAGTATATGAAAAAAATATTCCACATCTTTGTTATGGTTTATATCCAGATGTCTTCCCAAAGCCTCATGAGCTCACAGGTGGGGCTTTCAGTAGTGATGGCATCATCAGGATGTGTTACTCATCAGGGAGATAGGGAGGGGAACCCTGGTCAGAGGTGGTGGGTCACCACAAGGCGGTATCTCCTTCCCTCTGCCCTTGATCTCCACTTCCTGACTACAAGGCCATGAGCCATTCTCTTCTGCCATGCCGCCCTGCCTTGGAAGCAGCTGACCATGGACTGAAACCTCTACAAATTGTGAGACAAAACAAACTTTTCCACCTTTAACTTGTGGATGTCGAGAATTGTAACTAAGACAATCTTTATCCATTAGAGCAATGGGAATCAAAATTACTTTGAGGTTTCACCTTACCCCAATCAGAATGGCTATCACCAGACTGCTGCCTGCCAAGGATGCAAGGAAAAAGGAACCCTCCTTTGTGAGGAATGTAAACAAGCCCTATGTAAATCAGTATGGTGATTCCTCACAAAACTAAAAATAGAAATATCAAGAAATACCTCTCTTGGGTATATTAAGACATCACATTACAGGGATACATGCATACTCACGTTTATAGCAGCACAGTTCACAACAACTAAGATGTACAAACAGACTAGATGCCCACAACGGGTGAACTGATAAAGACAATGGGATACATTTACACAATGAATATTATTCAGCCACAAAGAAGAATAAAATCATGTAATCTGCATGAAAACAGATGGAACTGGATATCATAATGTTAAGTGAAATAAGCCAGATTCAGAAAGTTAAACATCACACGTTTTGTTATATGAGAATCCAAATAAATAAACAGAGGAGAGATGACTGAAAAATAGAAGGCACTCTTTTAGAGATGAGGAAGGGAGCAGGGGTAGATCACAAGAAAGGAAGAGGTTCTGTAATACCAACATTCAGTAATTTTTGTCCATGATCATATGGTCAGAGCAACATTATTAAAAATAGCCAAACAGTGAAAATGTTTATCTATTGATAAACAGAACATGTTATATCTATATAATTAAATATTATCTGACAATAAAGAAGAATGAAAGACTGATTGATAGTACAACTTGAATGAACCTTGAAATCACTATGTAAAACAAGTTACAAAAGACCATATATTATATGAGTCTATGTGCTTGAAATTTCTAGAGTACACAAACTTACTGAGACAGAAAATATTGCTCGTTGCCTAAGGCTGGAAGGGACTGAGCAAGAAGACAAAGTGTGGTGCACAAAGGCTACAAAGTATCTTTTTTAGATTATGAACATGTTCTAAAACTGATTGTGGTTATAGTGTTAGAGTTGTGTGAATAAAAGCCATTGAATTGTATGCTTTTTAAAAGAATAAAATATGGTGAATGAATTATATCTCAACGGAGTTGTTAAAAAATAGGATCTCTTATGGCTTACATCTAGACGTCCCCTCAAAGCCTCATGTGCTCACATGTGGGGCTTTTCAGAGGTGGCTGGATGTAAGGTGTGTGACTATGGATTAGGGCTATGTGGTAACCAGATTATTCATAGTTGTCATTGAGGATAATGAGAAAGCCTACCCTGGGTGTGGGTGGCACCAACTAATACGCTTGTAGCCTGACTGGAATATAAAATGGAAAGGGAGGTTCACTGCTTTGCTGCTTCCTGCCTGCCATGCTATGGACTGTTTCTCTTCTGCCATGCTGCCCTGCCTTGGTCCCAGCTGCCTATGCACAGAAACCTCTACCAGCTGTGAGCTAAATAAACCTTCCTCCTTTAACTTGTGAGTACTGGGTATTTTGTCCCAGCAGTGAGGAAGTAACTAAGACATTCTTCTGTATTAGGGGGAGGCTTTTCAGTATTACCTGAACAACCAAAAGTGTTCCTTATAAATGAGTAGCTCTCATAGTGTTACAGTATATTTATTAAGTGTTACAGTATATTTATTACATATAATTAAGGTAGAAAAAAATAGCAAAATTATTACCCTTTCTACTGAAGATAATTGTTGTTGTAATCCATCACATTTTTTGTTTGCTTCTTCAAAAAGATTCTTGTATTTTTCTATTTGTGACTGTTGCATATTAATTGTTCGTTGCTGTCTTGCACCATCTTCTTCAAAACTTTTTACTTGAGACTTTAACTCCTGAATGTCATCCTCCTATAGTTATAAAAGTACAGATTATGTGACAAAATGCACAAAACAGGATCAAATCAAAGCAGAAAACACAAAAAGGCTTCATATGATTTCAATGAAATATTATACAGTTAATGAGTAAAAAGTACATTCCACTTTCATCTTTAGAAACAGAATTCAGACTTGTAAATCTGACATAGAGAATTCTCAGTAAAAAAGTTTTAAAAATCCTTTAGCTCTGGGATAATTTGACATCTTAGAATAAAGGTCAGTATTTATATATGATGACTTAAAGTGTGACTGTAAATTATATTTAAATAAGGATATTCAAGAAATACAATTAAAGTTGACCCTCACATGTCTTTAGGGAGAATTTCTTTTTGTTTGTAGTACATTACGTTTACATTCCTTTAATGGAGTTACTTCATGTTCATAACACATCTGAAGTCCTTTTCTCATCTCCTTTCCTTCCCTTCTCTCCCCCTTTCCTCCATCTATTGATCCCCTTCCCACAGGAGAAGATATTTCTTCTGAGAGGTTTTTAAAACTTACCTTTTTATTGCATTCACATACAACATTATCCAGTTCCTCCTGCATTACATGGAGTTTGGCCTTTAGAAATCTGATCTGCGCCTCTGTGGATTTAAATGATTATATTTATTGCCTTTTGCTGAATCTAAGACATTACCAGTTGTAAGATAGACCATTATTTTATGCGGAAAAATGCTCAAAGTGGAAAGTCCAATATTATATCCCTACTAGGGGACATTAAAGACATCAAATCGTCTTGTAAAAATAAATTAGAAATAAATCCACTCAACAGGAAGGAACAGCTAGGAATTGTCCGTATTTCCTCACGGAAACTGAGTTAATAAAGGGGAAAAAAAAAATCTGTCCTGTGAATATGACCCACAAGCTAACCCATTTGGTGACTGAACTCACACTTCTGAGAGTGGCCCAAAATATGTCAAACAGAGAATTTACAGTGGTCTCAGGATCAGTAAGGTCCCCAGGTGTTCAGCAGAAGCAAACACAAATACTTCTAGCAAAATACTCCTTCAAATTTTACAAAGCAGTGTATTTTTCCAAACTACTTTTTGATTTTTTCTTCTAAGACATAGCCCAGCCATTCCAAGCAGTCATCTGGATTAAGGGAAAATTCTCCCAAGAGTGAAGACTCCTAGGCCAAGGATACTGCAAAGGGAAGATACTGAGATGGAGTGGCAGACAGGTAATTTAGCAGTAAGAAACAAGGAACATTAAAGTCTGTTTGTCTACCTGAGAAACTATTTTGTAGATAATAATATGTAAAACGATAACCATTAATAATTTCCTACCACTTTGTCTGTAATATGCTAAGTCCCCCCTATTATTATGTTATCCTTGTTTTACTCTTTAAAATAAATAAATAAATAAAGTCTGTTTGTCTAGGTTCTCAGTGTGGAAGCAGGAACACAGTGACAAGCCCTGGGTAGCTCTCTACTGATGAACAGCCGGAGTCCGGCCACCATGTCCTTGAAACAGACTGAAAGGCAGCTGACTTCCTGCTTTATTTACCTTCTTTCCCCACAACTATTCCAGAAAGCCTGATCAGGCTAGCAAATGTCATAAAATGCATAAATGAACTGCTATTCACTTAGGATTAATATGCAACTCAGTAATCATTACACATACAAAGTAGTATAATTTTTCGCAGTGAATTTTAAAGATAGAATTTATAACTGTCTACCATAAACTGCGAAATTTCAGAAAAGAAATTCTTATAATGAAGAGGTTTAAGTGATTTGCCTGTTGTCATCATTAATTGTACTATTTTATAGCTCAGCATTAACTATGCTCATAAATACTCAATTGTCTATTTTTTGTTTCAATAGCATAGGTGGTTCCTCTTACATTAAACAACTTCAGAGGCATTACTAATAACTAATATAGCATTTTTTTTTCTGGTACTGGGAATTGAATTCAGGACCTTGCACTTGCCAGGCAGGTACTGTGCCACTGAGCTATATCCCCAGCCCTAATATAATATTTTTTGATGGTCCAAACTTAGTATTATTATTTGTCTAGTGTTATGCAGAGGACGAATTAGTAAGGAAAATTAGATTAGAAAACTCACTTGAGTATACCTGATCCAAGATCAATAATTCACTTACTTTTTAGCATGTGTTGATTTAATACCCAATAAATAAGATATAACTGTAAATTAAAGGACTTTAGAGAAGCTTTTTCATTTTAATGTTTTAATGATAAGCTATGGGGCATTTTAGTTTTACTTGCAAGTGCTCAATAAATCCCAAACAATAGCACAGTCTTTTTAATTTTTACCTCTTATACTAGGAAACCTCAAGTAGATACAAAAGTGAAGAGACAAGTTCAGTGAACCCTCACTTATCCTCCACCCCTCTGTAACAGTTACTGACATATGAACAATTTTACCTTTAATCCCATACTCATTCCATGTCCCACTACATTATTCATTAAACAAATCTAAATGTGTAAGTCCAAGAAGCAATTCTCAAAGATCTCTTGTTCCAAGTAATTGTGATAAAAGGGAAAATGACAATCAAAAGAAAACCTACTTGTTCCGATATCGTTACTAACACCAGAGAAAATCTCATCATCTGAATGTTCAGGTAAGCCTTCTTCCTCCAGTTGTCCTTCAATTTTGCTAACTGTCTTTGCAAGGGAAAAGTCTGAGAAGTCCTCTGGAATGGCAACATCATTGGCAGTTTGTACATTGCAATATTTCAATTTAACACTAAGAAATAAAAATTAAATATGTATATAAACACAAACAGAAAGGTATAAAGAAAATATGGTTTTTGCCCAAATGAAAAAGCAGATTAAAATTATTATAAATTTTAAGTTTATGATGAAAAATATAATTGATACTTTCAAAGACCATAAGACTGAATAGACTTTCAGGTAGTGGTCAACAAAACCTAAATTCCAGTTCCCATTCTAAGAAAATACACTAGAAATGACATTTAAGCATTCTGAAGTGGTCAACTGCTACAAAATCTTCCTGAATAGAAGGTATTTTACATCACTGAATGTGGTAAGATACATATGGTATAACTATATATTTTGGGTATATAAATATCATGAGAAATAGAGCTTAATAATTAAAAACGATGGTATTGTGAACTACAAAACTAAAACTGAAAGTAGTACTTTAAAAGTGTATTGTACCTTGAATTTGCTTTCCTTCCTTTATTTGCAGACTGTAACTTGTTTTGAACCTTGTTTATAGCACCAGTGTTTTTGTTTTTCAGCTAAAAGAAAAGAATTGAAAGTAAATCTAATCATTTGCCAAGAAAAGCAATTTCACAATACATGGGAACTGCTACTTTGTTACAAATAGGATTGTTATTTTCACAGAATTAATTCAATTATATTTGTAAGAATCCCAGAATTGTGTACCTGTAACCAACTTGCATATCACCCAAACCAAGAGATTCAAGGATAAGGAACATGAGTTCCAAAGCATTGAGGACATGCAGCTGGTTAGTGAAATACCAAATCTGGATATTCTGACCCACGGAGTTCAGTTCTCCTCAGTAACCAACTATGTCCCAGCCCAGCCTTCCCTGGCCTCCAGCTACCAGTTCCCCAGGCCTAAATCTTCATGGGTGGGGAGCCTGCCCAGGCTCTGAAAGCATGGTCTCCATACTGTGAACATTTAAATGGTTGAATGAACCTATAAATAGTCTGTTTTTGTATATAAGCACATTTCTCTTTCACGTCTTCTCTCTCAAACTGTAGATACAAGACTGAAAAATATAAGGTTAGGATCTTATTTCACTTAGAACTTTTTCACTATGTTCCAAATTGTTCAGTGAAATTATGAGACAAAAATGCTTCAATTTATTTTATGAGAAACACACAAATGCGTCCCATCAGAATATCTGAGTTTATATCCTGTTTCTACTGCATCATACCCCTTCTTTAGAAAAGCCTAAAGGAACCGCTCAATTCTACAGAATGAAACTGCATTCGCAGAAAGTGTGATTTCATACCTTAGTGTCTGGATGTCGATGAACTACCCCTTCAGATGACACCGGACCTCTACAGACCAAAAGTACACATTATACATGAATAACAGATGATACTAAGCTGAGAAAATGAAATTCAACAGCAATTATATTTCAAAGGGAAAATACATGACTATTGATACAATTCTAGTTATCCATGTGCTAATTTATTTTGAATTAATTATATATAAAATTCCATTTCTGTATCTTTCAAAGATAAATAAATTAGAATTATATTTTCCTATAATTGTAGTTTTCCATATTATTTTGAATGAGTATCATGAGAAATGTGCTTTGGTTATATAATTTGCCTCTGATAAAATACTATAATGCTAATGTTTTCATAAGTAAATCTAACATACATTTCAACGAGTAGAAATCACAAGGAGTGATTATTGGCTACACACAGGAATCATTCATTTTAGAAAATTATTCGTCACAGAACTTTCTACTGTGAGCATACTCTGTTATCATTCTTCTAATCATTTAAGTAACTGGTCAGTGTCTATTTTCCCCATTGCACTGTGAACTCCTGGGGGGTAGGAGTCAGCTTTGCCTTTTTCACTATTCAGTGGCTAGCACCTGGCATAGTACCTCACATAGAAGTTCTTAGTCTGACATTAAATAAATGTAAGTTGAATGAATAAATACATCTAAAATGCAATTAATTTTATGTATTTTATTTCTGGTTTTTAAAATGTTTGTAGTTTAAAACAAGAGTATTTATGGGGGCTTACTGTGATACACAGGCTGAATCCACCTACATCTATTTATTACATATTGTAATGCAGTTATCACTGTACAACAGCAAAGTTAAGTAATTGCAACAGAACCTGTATGGGCCAAATCCAAAAGTGTTTACTATCTGGCTCACTGCAGGAGAAGTTCACCTATTCCTGATCAGCTGTCTATAAGCATCCCTACTAGTATTTGTAAAAAATATACCACATTAGTACCTATGAAACAAAAAGACTCCATCACATTTTCCGAAAACTCCTAACTGTAGTAGATGATAACATAAGAAAAAATTACTTTTCATTACATGGCACCTGCTGAACTGGTCATGAGTAGATTTTTTTCAATATTTCACATAAAGATATAGTTAGGTATTATTAATTATATACAACCTCTTAAAGAACTACTAGAAATACCTCTGGGAAGGGAAACATTTTGAAAATGTCCTAAAATTACACAGAAAAAAGAATCATTTTCACATGTATAACATGAAAATTTCATGTCAAATTAATGTTTGAAATTTCCTTGGTTCATTTTGTGTACCTCTCATTCTTCCACAAATTCTTTTTGGTCAAAAAAACATTTAATGGTTTTTGCTTTTCCTCAGGTATGAGTGATATTAACTTGCTAGTGTATTTCCATGAAAAATGAACTGTAACAGGTTTCTGCTTGTTTTTGTTACATTTCCTCTCAAAGGTTTGTAATATTATTGAAATCATTTGTGTGTAAGCCTTGCTTTCAGCAGATTGAGGATATGTGTAACTGTTATGGTTACATCTAATGTCACCCAAGAACCTCATGCATCCAGAGGTGGAACTTTTGAAGCTCACTGGACTGCAGGGGTAGAGCGGACTTGCTGCTAGGAGACAGGGTTTGGTCAGAAGAGGTGGGTCACTGGGGCTGTTGCCTGGAAAGATTCATCTCCCTACAGAGCTCCACCCTTCATTCTCTGCCGCCTGGGCAAGATGCCTCTCTGCCAGGCCGTCTGGTCTCGGAGCCAGCCAACCATGGGCTGAAGCCTTTACAAAACCTCTATAAAAATAAACCTTTCTTCCTTTAAACTGTGGATGTTGGGTATTGTGTCTCAGTAACAAGAAAGTGACTAAGACAGTAACTGTATTTTAGTAAACTAAATTGTGCTTTCCTCATATTTTCTAACAGAGTAAACCTGAGTATTGGATATCTATTATAATATACTCTGATGGGTTATAATTAGGAAGATTATCATCGTACCAACTTGAAATAGGTAGTCTCTTTAGAGGTACAACTCCCATCTTCAATAATTCCCAAGAAACAATCAAATGTGCTGTTTCACATGGAAAAAGTCATCTGCTTAAACAGCAGGATTTTTTTTTGCGGGGGGGCGGTTCCAGTACCAGGAATTGAACTCACGACCTTGTGCTTCCCAGGCAGGTGCTCTGCCACTGAGCTAAATCCCCAGCCCAACAGCAGGATTTTTAAAAAATCCACCATATCTAGGTAAATATAAGCATGACCACCAATTTGAACTTAAAGAAAACTTAGTAAAAGAGGATCAACAGATTTATTTTTGTTTGTGAGATCAATCTCTCACTTGCTGCAACAGAAATTAAGGCCTATCTGTATTGCCATCACTTCAGCCACTTAGTTTAGTAGCTAGGAGTCATGAATCATATTTGTAACTCAAATTTTGGGTTGTTTTTCCAGTGCTGTTGATTGAACTCAGGGAGTACTGACCTATATCTTGGACCTTTTAAAATTTTTATTTTGAGACAAAGTTTTGCTAAGTCTCAAGTCTGACCTCGAACTTGAGAGCCTCCTACCTCAACCTTCGGAAGAGCTGGGATTACAGGCATGTGTTACCACACTCAGCTTCAAATTTGAGAATTCTGATAACTGTTAAATCTTTTTACACATAGATCATTACACATAATAAAGTAGTCTTATGTCCACATTACATGTATCAAAAATGATATAACATATACTTACTGAAGAAAACTCTCAAAAGCAATTCACTAGGGAAATTTCTGGGAGCAGGGTCCAGTGCATGTATTGACCACTGGGCTACCAAGCAGCCAGCCCTAGCACTAAGAGTTCAAACATTTTTGTTTCTTGTTTATTGAGTTACAATTTATACATCATAAAATACATCCTTTTAAGGTATATAGCTCAAAAAATTTTAACAAACTTAGTCCCATAACACCACGACGAACAAGATCGAGAACAGCATTTCCTCTATTCCCAAAGTTAAAAGGGCTTCTTGGTATTTAGTCCCCTAACCCCTGCTCACAGCCCCAGATGACCACTAACCTAAGCTCTGTTCCTACAGTGTTGAATTATCCAAAATGTCTAATACAGCCTGGGCCCCATACTGGCTTCTTAAGTGCTGAAAAACTCCCACTCTCTAGTAAAGCCATACTCTACATGATGGTCACACGATGACAAAATTGTCTATCCGTGCATTTTACAGAATATATCATACCATTAAGCAATGCGTAGCTACAAATGAAAACATAGATCATACACATTTTTGGGTCTGGGATCTTAGTCTTAGCATCCATATTGTTGCCGTATCAGTTGTTCATTTCTGTCATTGCTAAGTACCATTCTACCACACAGCTATTCCACAATATGTTTACTCTCCATTTGATGATTTGATGGATTATTTGAGTTATTTGTAGTTTGGGGCAATTAAAAACAAAGCTGTTCTAAATATTTACATGCAAGCATTTTGTTTGTTTGTTTGTTTTGGTAACAGGAGTAGAACTCAGGACCTTGTGTTTGCCAGGCAGGCCTTTGTGCTGCTGAGCTATATCCCTGGTCTTTTTTTTTTTTCCTTCATTTTTTTCGAAAAAATATCTAAGACAGGTACTGGTGGATTATCTGCAATAAGTATTTTAAAGTAAGCGAATAATATACCAGTGTTTTAAGTACAAGTCTGCCTTAGTACTTTCTTGTTGTTGGGACAAAATACCTGACACACAAAGTTAAAGAAGGAAAGGCTTGTTTTAGGTCACAGTTTGTAGAAGTTTCAGTTCATAACTAGCTGGCTCCAAGGCAGGGCAGCATGGCAGAGGGTATCACAGAGGAGAAACAGCTCATGGCAGAACATGCTAAACCAATCAGTGGAATAAGTCACTTATCACATCCTTAATCCAGTATCACACATCCATGATCTAGGCACACTCTCAAACGCTACACCTATGAGTGCGCAAGGATTTAGGGGGACATCTGGATATAAGCCATAACAAAGCCAAATAACTGCCACTTTAGAAACACATTCTTTTCTTTGTTTCTCAGTCCTGTAAGGTGTTAAACATTATGTTCCTTAGGGTTGAGCTCTGCTTCTTGATGTCAGAAGATCAGGGAACCCACATAGTGTAAGATTTATACAGGTATAAATAATTTGGGTCTATTTTTAGAGTTTCTCTGCTGGTACACTTTTTTCAAAAACTAGTGAATTTCTTATCTATCTGATCTAGTCAGTTCTATGTGGCATTATGATAACCACAGTTCCTTCCAAGACTATAAACAGTAGCTCTCCTTCAACTGCAGGGAATATGTTCCAAGATGCCTAGCAGATGCCAATATCAAACACTATAGAAATTGTATGTTTTCCTCTATACACCCATTTCTGGTAAAATTTAATTTATAAGCTATGTAAAATAAGGGTTAACAATATTTAATAATAAAAAAATATCCTGTAATAAACTGCAATAAAAGTGATGTGAACGTGAACTCTCTCAAAATAGCCTATGGCACTGTATCTACTCTTTGTGGGACGCTGTGGGACGACAAAATGCCTACCCGCTGAGATGGAGATGAGTGATACTGGCACCGTGATGTAGCTTAAACTGCCACTGGCCTCTCAGTATGAACACTGCCCTACCGCAGCAGTTGATCTGTCACTGGAATGGCTATGAATTACATGACTGATGGCTGACAGTGTACACAGCATGGATGTGTCAGACAAAGGGATGATGTGCATACTAGGCAGCATGGAGCAGGACAGCACAGAGTTCATCAAAATGCCATTTAAAATTTATGAATTGTCGTGTGTGAATCATTCCAACATGGACAAACCCCTGGGAATACATGCCATACAACGGGTCACTTTTGCTCCTGCCGTGGAGAACCAGAAAGGTCCAGAGTCAGTGGAGGAGCAGCTG